AAAATGTTGTGCATATCGTATCCAGGGTCTAGCTGAATGCATATGCGTGATCGTGTAAGTTGGTGACCGATCACGTGCCAGTTGACCTCAAATGCGGCATTCGGGGCCAGCTCAAGGTTGGAGAGGCGGCAGTGTGTCGGGAGGTGGACCAACCACGAACCGGGTTAATAATACACACACACATACAAGCCTTGGTGTGGTTTTGAAAACAGAATGCGGTTGATGAAAACCGATGGTGCTAGAGAATGCAAGATCGGTTAGTGTGTGTGTGCGCGCGCGCGTTTGTGTCGCTGTTTGGCGGTCAGATGGAAGAGGAGAAAGAATTAGGAAAGGGTCACATCAAGGTACGTTAAAGTAGAATCAGTGGCCCCGATCGGCGTGTATTGGTAGGTATCATTGTGTATGTTTCACGTTCTATGTAGTGTTTCCAAAGCACCCCAAAGAAACAAAAATCACGTGATGAACTCCGTAACAGACCTGAAACTGTTTTGAATGAGTGAAACTCAAAATGCAAACCCAGCTGATCAGAGTCTCAAGAGTTTAATCGGCATTTCTGTCGATTGATGTTCATAATATAGAGCGAGAAAAAATGGCCAATAGCCTCAAAAGTTGTCAAAATTGATCATGCTACGTGGAAAATGATAGAAATTACGAGATGAATTGTGGCGACATTTTGGAATTATGCTTGGGTATAACGTGAGCGAAGTGGCTACATGAACCAAAGGAAAATTAATCAGAGGATCAGTTTACATTCGCTAGCGAAATTTGACTTTATTAAGCTCACTTAGATGATCTTGGGGACCAAAAGTGTAAACAGACAAATATGTGTGCACGCATATCAGGAAACAAAATGACAGCTGGAAGTAGGCAATTAATACAAGAAGCAAACAAAACCCACTGCAAATGCCAAGGCTGTCATTGACAGTGGTTCAGCGTTCGGAAGTGACTTATTGAAAGGAATAGTTATTTCTGGATGATATATATATATATACGATGTTAATTCAACCAAACTAATGACTGGATAAGAGATACCTGATGCGCGACAAGTACCGCGAAGCCGGTCGTGTGCTCTCATGAAAGAGTGTAACCAAACCAAACATAAACAACACAGCCACGGTGGTATAAACTGAGACAAGGAGAATTCGGAGTGCTTACGATGGGACTCCTTCCTCATCATGATGATTTCAGCATCTTCTCATTCCATCGGTTGCAGTACATCATATTCAAACAGAAAACAGCCTCCTCGTTCCCGCAGTCAGAACCACTCAATGACGGATTGTAGTTGCATGCATGACCTAAACCGTACTTTTCAGCAAGTTTTTGTTTTATTTACCTGTGATGTGCTACTAGGCATGGAGGAGTCTCGGTTTATCAGCCGAGAATTTCACATCCGGTTCAACTGTTCGATGATTCCATCAAACAATATTCTCAACGAACAAAACCCATTAATATAGCGTCCGTCCATTATTGTATAAATTATTCACGGATGAAAGCCGTATGAAGTTGATCAGTTCAAGTGTGTGTGTTCATACCGATCCAATCGGAAAATGTACTTTTAACCGTTTCCAAGCGGAAACAGTAGGACAACGATCGTGTTGCGAGATGAACCCGGAGTGTACCGTAGTAGTTATTCAAACCATCGGGATGAAATCCATTCTCACAAACATGCATAACCGGGAACAGACAATTCAATGCAGATACATCCATCCATCCAGAAATACGCTAAGACATGATTACTTTTTGTTAATCTATGATTTCACTAAAAATAACGGTTACAAATGAATTTAAAAATAAATATATATGGGATTGAAACTGGAATTCGTTCTTCTTCTTCTTCTTCGTGGGAATCCAATTGACAGAACTGGTATTATCTATTTACTTTTAATTTTAGGCAATTAGGTCCGTGATGATTCTGACTAAATTCTTATTCTACTCCCTCTGGTTATAGACGTTTCGAGAGTCTAAATAGGACCACGTCCTTCTGGGTCATGTTACCCGAAAACTTGAAGGTGTTCGCGTCTCTCTCTCTCTCCCTCTCAGGCCACAACCGGTTCGAACCCGGGTGGGGGGGGGGGAGGAGGAGACATGAAAAAATCGAGGTAATAGCGTAAGGTTTGGAGCAACAATTCTGGCACACAATGTTAAAATTCATACTGACCGTACGGATGATGTGGATCACGATGAGCATATGATTCAGCTCTTAAAAATGGTAGCTGGCCTCAGGTTGGATTATTCATAAGAAGCGAACAAACGCACACACNTACATGATCAAGCACAGGTCAACACAAACTAACATCGAAAGGGGAAGAAATTCAATCGTGCCCAATGAGACGCAGAAACCCATCAAATGAAAGAAAATGATCTTGAAACAATCCCCACAAAAGAACGAGAAAGAACAAACTGACACGTGTGAAGAGAAATTTTTTCCCCTCAACAAATGACCGCGTGCAGCGGACAAACCTCGAGACAAACCGTTCTCATTGTAATTTTGCTAACACCACTTCTAACAGTATTATTAACAACAATATTCATCATACTCAATACACAAGAAAAGTGTGTGTGGCCAATCCGCAGGACTGGAGGCGCGTTTGTCGGTCTATGTGACGGGAGGAGATAAGAAAAGACGTGTCTGTCACAAGATGAAGCGCTTCTAAGTATCAACGACAAGGAGAGAGAGAAAAAACACTTAGATTACGACAGACCGGATGGACGACCTATTGACCTCAGTAATTGCAAGTAGCGTGGGATTTATTGAAGCTTAGCCGGTAAACAACCGCCAATGGGGATTGACGACAGACAGATAACTAAACGAAGTCCCACGATGATCTCCGGAACGAGCACAAAGGTGGTGATGATTAGGCTTCAGCGAGGGAACAAAAGAACAACCTCAGTGCTGTAGCGTTCCCTTGACTACGCTCAGCAATGCGGCTTCAGACATTTTCTCTTGTCCACTGCCGTCCCGTGGAGATGATGTTATTACCAGAGTGGCAAAATGATAGGCCACTGTACGGGTTGATGAGCCACAGAAAGATAGCCAATACAGAGGAACCGGAAACGCTGATTTCAAATGAAAGGAAGAGACCTCCCAACTGACAATGGGACACCCGAGTCCACTGGACAATGGGATGCATAGAACACCCCGGATGAATGAGCCACGTCTGAAGGATGGATTCGGTTGACTGGATATCTGCCCCAAATAAACTGCGGTTTTCATAAATCGTCCGCTTCCTTGTGGGTCAAATGTTGAATAGTTGAAGGCCCCTTTAGAACCACACCGGCCAGGGCAGAGAAAATCTAGCAGCATTGTGCCCACAAACAAATCCTAAAGTGACCCTTACTTGACACGGTTTAAACCCAGACAAATGTGAATAGATGCAACACATGATGAGCCATACAAATTAATGACGTGGAAAAACACGAGTATCACTGGGTTGAAAAACAAGGTATATAAGTTTGATTTAAAAATAACCACAGTTGTGGAAATCGGATGTCTGATGTAAATAAAACGCTCGACAATCAGATTACAGTGTACTCACACATTCCACGACGGTGCACGGCACCGTAAATCAACAGCCGTAGCGGTATTGGGGAATAAAAACTGATCGGCTCCCGCAGTGGACAACGATGTTACCGGACCCGTTGATTCATCCAGTGTGGGAAGACGAATGCCGGGACTGGGCAGATGAGATGCGATAAACGGGTGCGGTGAAGGAGAACTTGGATTCGACTGATCACTCAAGGGTAGCCCAGATGGACGTATTCCATCCATGGAATCACACAGTTCCTGTGAATGGATCTCATCATGATCCATTAACGCTTGGCCACGACCGGACATTGGCGCAGCGACGGTACTGAACTGACGACGTTTACGGAATGCCTGACTAATCAGGCGCGGATCACACGTGGAGTCGAGTTTCCAGAAAGCACCTTTGCCTGGTTCCCCACTGCTTCGCGGTACGCGGACGAAATAGCGATTCAGTGACAAGTTGTGTCGAATGGAGTTCTACGTGGCGAAAACCGAGGGAACAAGCGGAAAAACAATCCATATGACATCTCATAGGACTGGGAACTCTTGTACGATGCGTCCCCTCGGAGAGAACAGTATAATTAATGTTCGTGTTCATTAGCAGAGAGAGAGAGAGAGAGAGTAAATTGCAGATGGAAAGGATGATAAATCTAATTTGTATGATCATAATGCACATGGTCCAACAGTTTTATTCATTTTTATCACGAAGATGCGTTCGTATTCTTCTATCTTTATTCCCGGTTCAGTTAAAATACATTGTGCAACACAATCCACTACCTTTCACTACGGTTTTCTGAGTTTATCGGCACACCTACAAAATGACATATAAGTGAGAGGTAGTTGCAATCGGGAGTGTAAAAACTTGCGCCAGCGGGAGGGTTGAGAAAACGGATGAGCTCGCTCAGATCCACATTCGCAAAAGTCAACGGTCAAGGTGAAATAAGTCCTACGTTGGGGGCAGTGACTCGGTGAAATTTCTACATCCTTCACCCTACTCGTACACAGAACAGTCATTTTTTGACAAGGTGACACAGCAATCGCCACGGACTGAAAAACAATCGAATTCATGCATCTATTCTAATAAGCATTATCTATACGCCAGGAGAGAGAGAGAGAGAGAGAGATGGGTTCCGAATGGTAGGTGACCACAAGTCCCGGTTTTAAACAGAGAGAGAGAGAGAGTGAGTGAGTGAGTGAATGCCCGTGCGAGCGCGTGCGCATGTGTTCTGTCCATACGTTGCAATTGGGGATCTAAAAGTACACGTTAAACTACCAGTGCAATTGGGGGTTTAAGTACACTGAAAGACCACGTGAGCAAACAAACAAACAGGCGAAACATCGAACAACAAGTGATCTTCCTTGTAACAACAGCCCGGTAAACAACACTACAAATAAACACACGAGGAGAACAACAACAACAACACGCGCTGACAAACACAGGCATGCTACATGTTTCCTTGAAATTTGTAAGGCCAAAGTTACAACAGTCCGATGGTCCATCACACACATACACACTGTTCACCTCTTTCGTTTTGGGTGGGTATGCGCGATTGTTTTCAATTTTTTTTCCATTTCTAGAGATCCTGTAGGCGTGCACGTACAGGCTAGCAGCAGTAGCAGCAGTGCCTGTTGTCACGGCTAACCGGCAATGGAATAGGCTGAGTCGGCGATCCGATAAGGGCAAAATGTGACACAGTTTTACCAGGTGAGCATGTGCATGTGTATACAGTTTTCTTTTGTGATTCTTATTGCGCCAGTGATATTACCATTTGATCCATTTCCTGATTGTTCCGTATATCTCAATTTTATGTTAGGTTTGCTTTTCAGGGTTGTGCTAGGAATTGGTAAGCTTCGTGCAAACCAAAAAAAGCAGTGATCCCAGTGCTACCTACGGAAGTGGAAACACCCGCATACACACATGGACAAACGCATAGCAATACTCGGGGAAGATAACAGCGATTCTTGCAACTTATGTGAGTATGCTGAAGGCGGAGAAAATGTGGTTTGATAAACAAAATCCTATGAGCTGGATGAGCTCACCAATCGACCGGAGAGTTGGTATCCATCGATTGCACAGTTATGAAACGTCGGCAACGAAAGGGGGGAGGGGGTGAGTGAAACGAAATACTGATTGAGTTGAACAGAATTCAGTAATGCATTGGATGTAGGAGGAAAGCCAGAATGTAGGTGTCAACTTCCAGTGAATCATTAGGAAGATGAGATGAAACGAAGAATTCCTTTTGATTAATTATTGTCAACCTTCTGGATTAAAATCACGGACCGATTTCTTTGTTTAGCACACAATCTGAACACAAACTCGTGTGAAATATAAACAAATGAAAACAGACAGGACACTGCTAATCAATCCATGAATGAATGAACAGGGGCACAGAGCGACGAGGAGAAGGGAGTGGAGTATTGATTACAGTTGACAAGTCGGGCCGATTACCTCGCCAGGCTAACATGTGATTCCGTGAGCCGAATAAACGTGCCATTGGTTACGACATTGGACACAACCAGGCAAGTTTGAGGTTGTGCAGAAGTCGTTTTGTTTACATAATTCTTATTAGTGGGTTTGGACGACACATGCCCTTGCTGTTGCTCTCGTGGATGAATCATTATCCACAGTTGTATTCTAAAATACACAAGTAAATATACAAAAGCGGCTAAACTTCTACATTCCTCGCCCCGTCACCAAAAGACAAGCATGAAGTGTATCATAAAGCAGTAAATCGGGCAGTCACTAACACTGTTTTAGAGGATGAGATGAAGGAATATTTTTATCTAAAGCAAACTTGTAGATTCTACGCTCCAATATAGAAATATCATGAAGAGGAGAAAATAAGGGTAGGAGGGTCCTAACATAACAACAGGTGTTGAAGAGTTACCTGATAAGGATAAACTAACGCTTGCGGCCGGGATTCACAAGTGAACGAGAGTGACGGAGGTTGTAAATAAGTAAGCTTAGCCAAATAAAACCCATGGCAATAAATGTGGAGAGACGATGGGGAGGCGATCGCACGGTGATGGACACGTGGGTGCTGGGAATGAATCATCAAACAGGAGAAGAGATTTACGTTGAACAGAGTCCGAAAGGGCCAATTAGGAGATCCGGTCTCGGCTATATTATTCCACGGTGAGACCTTGTAAATAGTGATAAGTTAGGGAATGTAAAACCGACTCGAACGGAGAAGGCACAACAAACGTACTGAACGCATGTAATGCATGCAATCCAGTGATATGAGGAGACGGAAAAAGAGACAAAGGATCGGAAGTCAAGTAGAAGTGTAGATGTGAAACAAAGGGAATGAGAGTGAAAAGGAAGGCAAGTTGAGAGTGCAGGGATTACGCATTCGGAATACAGACAGCCATTCAGAGGGGGTGGGTGGGTTGCGGCATCGAGAATGACTCGATTTTAGCACCCCAGGTAGCAATAACACTTAGTTCTCGACTGAGTAAAGTACCGACCGTGAGCGACGATGATGGAGAAGGCATAGGTGGTTTTGTAAGAAAAGGAACAATGTGAAGTAAGTACACCAAAAAGAATGGATGAGAATAAGAGTTTAGGATGAAAGATCATCCAGGAGGAGGGTGGGAGATAACAGAGAACCTTGTGGATAGATACACATGCACATTGAGGTGATTGACAGCGGTTTTTTCGTACAAACAGGTGAACTGGATAGAAAATGTTCAATTGGTGGGTATTTAAAGTCAGGAAAGGGCCAAACTTGGTCAACTCGGATGGAAAAGGATTGACACAAGTTTCAAGATTCAGCACAACCCACGTGAGCGAACTCACTGATCAGGCTCAGTTTCAGTTCAGTTTGTACAACCATTAACCATGCACTACCGCGCACCGGTTGTTTGCCGTCTTTTGGCTGTCCGTTTGGATAAACATTAGAAAGACAGGAAAGGTTGAAAGTAAGACCAAAGAGAAAATTTAGAATTTCTTTGGACTGATGTTGCAAAGAAACAGACAAGATGCACGAACGCCACTGTTTACGGCACTGAGCCGTATCAGTCAGTGTCTCTAACCATCGGGTACGATCATCACTGATCAAGCTACTCATCATGGGCACACAAACAAACCAATTACTAACAGCTTGTCCGGGGGACCAATATAAAATAGGAGTTTATTAAGCAGCGTTCAATTAGGTGCAGATGAATTCTGAGAGTAAAAAGAGGGAAAAGTACTATCACCACTGACAACAGACCGTAGGATTTCGTTTCCGGGGTGTGTAAGAACCTCCGTCCCATGGAACAAAAATGGCGATTCAAGTTTCGAGCCTATGATCTCAACAGGCAAAAATGCTCTAGAATGATGGATTCTGTATATGGTTTGTTTTATTTGGCACAGTCTCAACTCGGAAGGGTATATATACGCAGATAAGAAACAGAATATTCGCAAAACGCAATTCCGGACGAATAACATGACATCGATTTATATTGGTTTAGTCACTGTCAACGGCGTAGTTTGAATCCTATGGTCCGAGATTCGACCCCCGCCACTTTGTTGTCGCCTGGTTAAATACTACACCCAGTCTAACGGGGCTTATAAGGTTCACCACTACAATTCCCGGGGGTTGGATTTCCGGTTTCCATCACTGAATAGCAAGTTTTCGCGACGATGGGGTCTACTCCGGTTACTGTGCATCACACACATGTGTTCAATAAAAAATCTCATCATTTTCTTCCAAAGGGCCCGATTATACTCAGCAGTAACGCGGCCTGATAAGTGGAGAATAGCTATACACTGACTACTATAAGCTGCTTTGAATATTGAATGCAAAATATTTATCCCGTACACGGCTAATATCATTTACGGTTTGAGTCGAACTCGAGAAAGAGCAGTGGATATTCGCAAGTCAGTAATTGCGGACCAAGTGAGTCCGACATTATGCTGTTTAAAACCCTACAGACCTATAATGAGAGAAACAGGTTCTTTTATCATTTTACTTCGTTTTATTGGACACACAAAGATACTATTTTCAGGAACGGGGAGGCGGCCAATCAAAGGGCTGCCATTCAACACACAATAGGGCAAATCAGACGATGCTGGTGGGATTCGAACACACATACCCGGGGTGATAATTTAGTGACGTTATCACCGGGCCACCACCGCCCGATGGTGTTTCATTGTACTTTTTATTCCTTGGCAATGACATCCATCCTAAAGAACGGAATAGATATGATTCATTTTGAGGCATGGCTGCATGATACGATCGGGTATCGTACAATGACCACTTTAACTTTCAGTCGCGGCACTAGCCGACATTATGACGGACTCCTGACGTGGCCACATGGGTTTCCTAGGAAATATCACAACGGCACTTCATACCGAACGTGGCCCACAATAAGGTCAGTGTGGTCGAATCCACACGGATAGATCTCTGCTGGTCGGCCACGTTCACTGGATGCCCCAATTTGGCACGATTCAACCGAAAGGTGCATGAACCAGTACTCAGCGGTTACCCAATCCACAGAGAATTTCGGTCTCCCAGCACAGCCTCGAAATTCAATGGAGTAGTTCAATTGACTGCTTCAGTCAGAGGGGACAGATAGTCTTTCCAGCACACAGCATGCACCATTGTGAAATAAAATGAGAGAACCAATCAAATGAAAATGGATTTGTGTAAAAACTGACGGTACTCCCATTTAGTTCATCAGGTATTTTACAACGACTGGTTCGTAGGACATATGATCAAATTACTTTCCCGATGTCCATGTTTGAAACAACATTCAACGGTAACGACAAAAACTGCCGCTTACCTGCCAGCCTTTTTCATAGGATTTGTAATAGGGGAAATTGCTTGATATATGCGCGTAGATATCGGCTAATGTTAACCGTTGCTCCGGAGCTGAGGCAATTGCTTGTATGATAAGCTGAGCATATGAATAAGGCGGTTTGCGATACTCTGTTCCGCGATCAATCTGTGCCGAGATGGCCAAACTGGCCGCCAGGGCGTTGATTCCCTCGGTCATGTGCAGCAGGTCGTCCTGGGCATCCGGATCCATCGATTCCGGTGCTGCAATCGATTGGGAGCGGGAATCAACCGGTGGTTCGTCCTTTTCAGTGCTCGATTCGTTTGGAGAGATGGGAGTACCCAGAACTGACGAGTCCATGCTACTGTTTCGCACACCACGAACTAAAAGATAAGTGGAAAGTAAGCGGGGGTGTGAAAATCGATAAGAAACAAAGGTTGTCAACGAGCAACAACACAACAAACTCGTCGTATTGTATGCACCATAACTGGTCTGTCGTTTGTAGCTGATACAATTGAGGGTGTATGCACAATCGTCGTTGGGTGGGATAATCATTTTGTTTGACCTTCATCCATAAATTGGACAGCGTCAGTGGACTGCAATCAAATGAACTTATCTGACCCACCGGACTCAGTACATAGGTAACAGTTTTTATACCTTTTTGTCAGGTATGGAACTTGTAGTTCTCATTTTATAGTGAATCGCTCGTCCGTCAGCGAATGGCACACACGAACGAAATTGTCACAGAGACGAGTGTAGCACATAATTCCAAGATCTTAGTCAGCAGTGATACTCAATCACTGGGACCAGAGATCGCCCTCAGCAGTTTAGTGACATAATTTGAACTGATATATTTCCGATTCAATTCACTTTAGCCCGCTAGTGGAATTGGGTAAAATGTGGGCATCATCAACCGAGGTAACATCATCAATAAAATGCTCTGCTTCGTTCAGTTATATAACTTTTCAGATGGTGCATGTTTGGATTAGACCATTCGGTTTTTCACAGGCACCAGGCAATGTTGATGTTCGGTGCCTGTGAAAAACCGAATGGGCTAATCCAAACGTTCACCATCTAACTTGATTGAGCCATTCGCACAATGTGATAAACGTCGACCGTTTAGCTCTTGGGTAAGGGTTTGAAGTCAGCAACCCGAAGAATCGCGGTTTGAGTCCTGACAGGGACACAAAAAGTACGCACTGCAAACGAGTCCCAAACAGGACGAAACAGCTGTCCAGTGCTCTTTGTTGGTTATCACAAACATTTCCATCGCATTTAAACATACAACTTTTATTTAGCGATTTGATTCATTATCCCTGATGTTCTCAGTCCAGTCCGTCGCTGAACTGACATGGAGGGGGCTGCCATTTATGCCTTAGCAGACCACTTTGTCCACCCTCGGTGACTTGCTGTTTGTGACCTCGTTTGATCCGTGAATCAATAAATCCTTGGGCGTGTGCTTTGGCCCATTTATTTTGCCGATCAGTTATTAGCTTCAAACAATGTGTTTAACCGTAGCGGGGAAGATTATCCAAGCATCGAGTAAAGTAGTAGCCCCATCTTCCTAACTGTGTTTATCAGTATCTTCAAGACCACAAAACGGTCATTATCTGGAAAGCCGAAGTCAAAATCCCCGCTGTCGTGTTGTCACAACAATCTATGGCGATTGTCTTTGATTTTATGATTGTATCTGCCGTAGTGAAACTGATAATTTGATGGGAATAACAACAAGTTGTTGCATGGGCTTTATCTGTCGTCTCTGTTACGTAGCGCTGGATTTCAGGAGAACAGATCAGAAAAGAAACCACAAATACCACAAAAAGTTTGTGTGTGCAGGCGCGGGGAGGGAGACGGAGCGAGATGGGATAGGAGTGATCATACGCACGTGTCTTCATGCGTGCCTTCAATTTCAGACAAATTGCCCCGCCGACGTGCCCATGCACGTATGCACACACAAAGGGAGAGAGAGAGAGAACGGCGACCATATTCGATGAAAGTAGACCAAATAAAAGCCGTTTCTAGTAATTCATTCACACACATGTTTGCAGTTTGTATTGGTTCGTTAACACGAATTGAGTGTGAAGCGTCTGTCTGTCTGTCTGTCTATAACCAGATTTGGACAACGTTTGATCAATGCAGTCGCTAATGCTAGAAAATTTGTCATTAGGTAAAGAATAGAGCGGAGCACAATGACTGTGGAGGATGAGGTGGGGAGTGAGTGATATTTCATGCCACTGCATGGTGGTAAACAGTGGAAGGAGTAGATGCGACAGTCCCGAACCAAGGATATACTGGTTGGCCACAAAAAAACTGGGACTTCGGAATTGTAGTGCTCGCCAGACCAAACGAAGTGCATGAAACGGATAAATTTGGCTTTCTGGTTGATAAAAAAGATGATAGCGCGTATCGAAAACCTTTCAATGGCAGCGATGTGCAACACAGGAATCCAGAACCCATTGGACCGATGTATCAGTAACAACAACAACAACAGCAGGCCGAACCTCTCGATTACCGTCGATCACGAACACTCGTCGGCATTAATAGTTGCAACCACACAGTTGCTGGAATTGGGTAGGGTACAATACTCGGCGAAATCTTTGAGCCGTTCAGATCAGTAACATAAGAAAATTCAATGATGGATACCTCCTTCGGTGGGTTGATTAAAAACGACAGTATTTTTTTGTCATTAGTTCGACTGCGTTTCCCTCAGATCATATTGCATTTTACGAAGCCACTCCTCGTTGTATTACTCCAATACATCATCATCAACATGATCAAACGCATACATTGAATCGTCTAATCACAAGCGCCTTTTGTCTCGGTACGCCATTCCTTTTGGTCGGATCACGGCACTTAACAAAAATCGTCCATCGCACGTGGAGTGCGACGCAAAAAATGTTTAGGCAGGAATAATTCAGCCCAGGACTAGAGTCTGAAAGTCTACTGAAGGCTAGAGCTGTTGTCCATTATGACTGCTTTCATGTATATCGGGATGTGCGTGCTACAACGTTAAACTCTACAGTCGTGCTGTAAACCACAACAATGGATTCGAGCTCGCGGAATTGCGGACCAACTGTTTTTCCCCTAGGTGATCACATCTTGGGCGACCCCGTAGTAGTACTGCGTTAGTCAACAATACTGAACGAACACGAACTATACGGGACCAACGGAATTGGTTCGTCTCCGTTTCTATGGTATACGGTATTATCACAGCACTGGCCTCCTGGATTCGATATATGATTATTCTTTGTGAAAAAGGGATATCCCGTCCCAAACCCGGTAGCGTGTCGCCTAACGACTACGGAACCAAGTCCCCTAGATTTTAGGAAATCAAGGAACTAATGGTCATAATAGTCTTGAGATGGCAAATAAGTGATAGGGTATATTTAAAAAAACGGCAGCATATCAGATGACAAGGTTCATGTCGCGGATGGGGTTAGCTCCATATGGAACCTGCGCGAGCACGTGTACCGGCGAGTACACCTGTATTCTGTCTGCCCACAATCCAAATAAACCATGGTATTGTCGACACATTCCACACGGACTGTGGTTGTCTGTCTGTCTGCGTCACACATGTAGTGTGCGCCTATACGCGACACAGAGGTAACACAAGCTGGGATGACGCATGCCAAAAAATATTGGATGCAAACGACACAAAGAGCCATGATTTTTTCCCCCCTTGCTCATGGACGAAACCTTGATCCGGTCTGTACTTTTACCAGCACATCATACGATTCGTTTAAAAAAAATTCTGTTCCAGTCGCAACTCTTCACTGGGCCTGGGACAAGCGGAAATAGAGTTGGTTAGTGCGTGGTAGGAACGCCTGGAGGAATAACTGGGCCAGGACCAGGCGAAGCAATGACTGATCAATGCGTAATCTTTACCTTGTTTGTTGATAAAACGAAAAATGCAATAGCCCTGGGGACACTTCCCGCTCATATAACGATAGACTGGATATTTACAAGAGAGAGGGGGGCACTGATTGACTGTGAAAGAGACAGAGCGAAGAAAAGAAACCCCGGTCGCTCTCTGATACGAAATGGTGAGTTTGAAGTGGGCAGATCGCGTTGACCGAATTTTACATGTCTATGAATCTTTCAATGAATCTGAAATTTTGGGAAATTACGAACTGAGTTTTAATTTAGACACAATCACTAACCGCGCTCTTTCATGAACAGGTTTTGGTTGGAGTCTTTTGACTAACAGTATGTTTGGTCGACCAAAATCAGAAACAAGGGCCAAGCGGCTGAGGACAGCGTGAAGATAAAGAAACACAAACTGGATTTGCGTAGAAAGCTGGGTAGAAGCACGGGAACTACTGCTGATGACACCTGTCACACAGATGCGCGATGTTTGTCGAGGCAGGTAGTGGGTGGAAAAAAGCCGAGTGGTCAAAATAAGACCTGGCATAATGGTATAAAAACCGTAATCAGGATACTCGCTTATACAGTCTGCATTAGGTTTTCTGAATGGGGACCACGGGATCAGTGTAATCAATGGTTAGAGACAGTGAGTGATATTGTGATGGATGTGCACAAGGAGTACCTACCATGATAGTTGAGTTCGTGGGACGACCTCCCAGGCAAGAATCTAGGGCTCAAACCATCTCGGCTATGTGCCTCCAACAACCTCATCTGGCAGTGGCTATTCTCTTGGCCAGTCATTTTCGAACGTGGACGATCACTCATAAACACCAGAACAAGTCACTGCACCAATTACCCCAAGTCCAGGGAGCTCCGCTGGTGATGCGGATATGAATACGAGCTGCAGTGTACCCACCAAGCCTTCCGTGCTTTCTAGCACCCAAGAACCGGTAAATTTAAATTCTACCGATGAAGAAGATACATCCGAAAAAATGGAAAAGCTGGATTCTTCGGTGATTCGCAATCCGGATGCGCCCACCTACGGAAGCAGCCTTCCATGTGTTCACGCTCAATGTTGTACGGAATTCCCCCTGCCCACTACACTGAAGCGTTCTAAGCAATTAACAACATACACTGATTTAAATGCTGTCCAATTACACTGTACTGATCCCCCTATGTCAAATTCGGAACAGATTCCCTCATTTTTGCTGTCTACAAACAGTCCTTCAAAGGTCACCAGTACCCATTGGCCGATTATCTTCTGCCGGTNGATATATATATATATATATATATATATATATATATATATATATGTATATATATATAAACCCTGAAGGCTAGTATCCGAATGCGCCAGGTTTGATGTCTGCATCAAGCTTGAACCGATGGGTTGTATCATACATAGGCTAACTGTAAACCTGTCTGGTCAGCCGCTCGGTGGGCAAGTG